CCAATTTAATATAATCTTAACATAAATGGTAAAACCCCCGATTATTCCAAAACCTAACTCACAAGCACTTTTTTACAATTTCGTTCTCTCTCCCAGATCATCATTCTTACAAATTAAATATATATTTCTAATCCTCAACACATACCGAATCTAATGGGATCATTAATTCCTCAAACAGAAATAATCCAATTTTTCCAAAACCTAACTTACAGGCACTTTTCTATAATTTTGTTTTCTCTATCAGAGAATCATTTTTACAAATTAATCATATATTCATAGTCCTAAATACATACAGAATCACATAAGACCAATAATTCTCCAATTATAAAATTACTCATAATCCTAAGGGACTCTTCCTCTACCCAATTCCCTCATGTAACTTTACATACAAATAATCCCCTTTTCCCCCGTACCTTGATATGTAGAAGTTGAACCTACACAAGATCTGGTTGGTCTCCCTCGCTGGGTTCCCCTCGGTCTGAAGCAGAAAGTAGAGGGAAAGAAGAGAGAGTAGAAGAAAAGAAATCAGAAAATGAGAGGTGCGTCTTTTTGGGAGTGGCAGAGAGCTCAATTTATAGACATCAAGCTTTGCCAGAACAGCCCATTCCAAATCTGGAACGGCCCGTTCTGGGGTGCATTTAATACTCACCACGGTCATATTTTGGAACGACCCGTTCTCAACTCTGGAATGACCTGTTCTCAATTAGGTGAAAAGGCCATTTTTGAAAACTGGAATGTCCCGTTCCCAACTAAGAATCGTAGGCAAATTTAATGGTTTGGAATGGCCCATTCCAAATCAAGAACAGCTCGTTCCCGGCTACCAAATGTAGGTCTATTTAGTAATTTGGAACGGCCCGTTATGGGCTACTAAACCACCTTAATTGAGCTCTTGGCCTAGTGAAAATTGTGCTGTTACAATATGTATATATATATATATATATATATCTCTTAATATTCCCATATATAATGTAATATATTAAAATAAATAATTTATTGATAAAATAAAATTTGTAGCATGTATGTTTATCTTTTGTGTTTTTTATTTATTTTATACGTTGATTGGAAAAATCAAAATAGTAAAATTGTATACATTGATTAAAAAAATCAAAATAAGAAAAATCAGAAGATTTATGTTCCATTTAAAATTGTTATTATATGATATATAAAGATATATTTTAAAATAAATTATCATCTAAAAATATATATTAGTTATTAAAAATATATTTATATCATAAATAAATTAAACTTGAATTTCGTAAAATTTAATATATTTATTTTTATATTTTTAATAGTGTTAAATTATTATAAAATAAGTCTTTATGATTGTAGTTCTACCCGAACATTTAAAAAATATCTATGATAGATAAATAAGTCATACTTAAGATATATATTTTTAAAGAAAGTTAGGTTCAAACCAACGAAATTATAATAAAATATAGTGTGACCTAATTTATTTTCATCTTTGATACTAATCATAGATATAAAAAACTTGTAATACCTTTAAAAGTTATATATAAAATTTTTAATACTACAAATATATAAATAAGTATTGCCCCCACTATCTAAAATTTCTAGATTTGTCACTATATATATATATATATATATATATATGTAATTTTAAGCTTATTACTTCTAGAAAATAAATTTTTTTTCTTCTAAAATATAAAACTACTATTTATGTTAAATAAACTAATATATGCACTAATTATTTAATAGAAAACTCATGAAACACACAAATATGAAAATATTCACACTTGAACTTGCTTACTATAATTTTAAAGACAATATACTAACATCTCTAAGTAGTTTATAAATATTTTAAAATAAATATTATTTATTTTAGATAATTGTTAAGATCCAAAATATTAATTTTAGAAGGTTTAAATATATTTTAGTCCCTATAAGATGGGTGATTTTGATTTTGGTCTTTGTAAATTTTTTTCTTTATTTTTCATCCTTGTAAGATTTATAAAGATTGTTTCGTACTTGTACAACGAGTAAAATATTTTTCTTTGATTTTCATCCTTCTAAAATATAAATTCACTAGTTTGATTATTTTAAGGTAGATAAATAATATTTATTTTGAAAAACTTAAAAAAAAATTAGAGGTGTTAAATATCAATACGATAATAGTACGTAATTGTTGTAGGTGACACCTAAGATAATTATTTATCTTCTTTTTAAAAAAATAAAAAGTAATTAAAAATGATTACATAAAAAATAAAAAATAAAAATAAAAATTCCAATTTTAGAAAATGAAAATAAGAATTAAAAATATGAAATTAAAAATAAGAAAATAAAATAAGAAATTAAAATAAGAATTAAAAATAAGAAATTTTCGACGGATTTATATTTCCGTCAGAAATTTTTGACGGAAATATAAATCCGTCGAAAACTTTTGACAGAATATTCTGTCAAAAATTTTTGACGAATTTATTTTTCCGTCAGAAATTTCTAACAGAATTTTTCGTCAGAAATTTTTTGTCAGAAATTTTTGACGAAAATTTTTTGACAAAATTCTATCGAAAATTTCTAACGAAAGTATAAATCCGTCAAAAAATTTTGACGGAAATATCCGTCGGAAAATTCCATCAAAAATTTCTGACGGATACATATCTGTCAAAAATTCATTTTCTTGTAGTGTATATTAATAGTAATTTATATTTCTCATTACTAATATTTAATATGTAGGAATGGTTAACCAAGATCCAGCAATCAAGATTAGCCTTATCTAAGAGAGAATAACATCTCAAACTGGGTTTAAAATATCTTATAGAAAGGCTTGGATGGCTAAACGAAAAGCAATTGTTAAAATTTTTGGAGATTAGGAAGAATTGTATGCTTATTTACCTCGATGGCTTAAATACATGAAAGAAATTACTCCATGGTCATTTTATGATCTGTCATGATGAGTTTTTTGTTGGTAATCGTTGTGGTCGTGGTTACTGTCAATTTCACAGATTATTTTGGACATTCAAGGCATGTTGTAATGCATTTAATTATTGTAAACCCTTGATACAAGTTGATGACACTCATCTATATGGCAAGTATCGAGACACATTGCTCATTGCTACAACACATGATGGTAATAACAATGTTCTTCCTCTTGCATTTGCTGTGGTTGAAGGAGAAACATTACTTACGTGGTTACAAATAAACAAGGAATAAACAAGTATTGCATTAGGCACATTGCAAGTAATTTTAATAATCGATTCAAGGATGTCAAACTAAAACAACAACTTGTGAAGCTAGGTAAGAAAGATTATTTTAATATTTTTAATCATTTGAAAATTTTTATTGTGCATTATTCATAATCTGTATGCGGGGTATACACCGTGTAGACACATTTTTTTATCGCAATTTGCAAAAGTTTTGTCAATCTAGCCCTGATGTTGAAAGGTGGATAGGAGGAATATCAAAAGAAAAATGGAGCATGGCATATGATGCAGATGGTCGTAGATATGGTCACATGACAATGAATTTGTCTGAATGTTTTAATAAGGTTTTAAAGGATTGTAGAAATCTGTCTATCACTGCATTAGTTCGGTCGACTTATACCAGGTGCGCTGAGTATTTTAGTAATCGTGGTAGTCGCGCTTTAGCCAATGTTTCATCAGGGAAAGTTTTCGTTTTAAAGTTGGTTGAAGATTTGCAAAAAAATCAAGAAGAGGCTTGTTCCCACCAAGTTTGTAGATATGACATTCAATCTTCAAAATTTGAGGTTGAAGAGGCATTTGATCCAATAAGACAAACAGGGGGGAAGAAATGGATAGTCAATTTAAAGGAACGATACTTTCAATGCGGAAAGTTTACAGCATTTCATTATCCTTGTTCTCATGTTATAGCTGCATGTGATGTTGTTAGCATTGATTACTACCAGTCTATAGATCCGGTTTATACAACTGATGATGTTTTAAAAGCATACACTGGTCTGTAGGAGTCGATCGGAAATGAAGACTTAACCCTTCCGAGTAATGAGGATTGGATACTTGTCCCAGATCCAACATCTGTGCGTGCAAAAGGAAAACCAAAATCAACAAGAATTAGAAACAAAATGGACTGGGTTGAAAGTTCACAACGACGATAAAAATGTAGCATATCCAAATAGGAAGTGATGGAGTCTTCATGAGGCAAAACTCCAGCATTCTTGAACCAAAACTCCTCCACAGATCCTTGAGAATGACGCAAGGATTAGAAGCAACAATTGAGAAGCAATGTAGCCTACGTTGAGCCAAGAGTCTCAGTAGAAAATAGGAGTCCTAATTCTACAAAGAGAATGGCTCAAGGTGTGACACCCTTACTACCCCAACACATATATTGTAATAATGAAAATAGACTAAGGAAATAAAATTTTCAACATAGGTAAAAGGGTTCACATAAAAACCTTCATAAATATTCCTCAATATCCAAGATAATTGGAAATAAATAAAATAGAAAATGAAACATAAG